AAGGAATATTCTTGTTGAAATATTTTCTCAACAAATTATTCTGTCCAAAATATAAAAGCCCGCTGTACGAACGGAGGCGATATAATAAGATGTGATTGAGACAAGTTACGTGATTCTCGATAAAAATAAACTGATATTAATTTTTTCCGCAGAAAACGACGAAATCAAATGTGATGAAGAAATGAGATCTTAAACAATAGCTGTCTGTAAAATTTCTCTTGCGATTTCCGCTTTAGAAGGACACCCGGTATAGCTTTGGTTCCTGCGTCGTCGAACCAATCTTGCTAAGGGTGCGTAGCTCCTATAGCATTCCCCCTGGTACGCCCCATCCTCCCGTTGGCCCCCGAGGGGATCGAAATTAAAATGACAATGAGGGCAGATCCGAAGGGTGGCTAAAAATGCGTACCCTTGCCATCGTCCAATCAGCAACGGATCCAACGACGCCATCGCGAACCATCCCTCTTCTGTCGCTTTTTTTTTCTCCCTGCGGCCCTTCGCGTCCGGAGAAACGCCACGAAATGAAAACGCTTAAAGCGCGATGATCCTTCAGCGGAATCTCCAACCCCTTCCGCTCTTACTCGCAGTCCCTTGGAAAAGTTTTCGAATAATCGGCCGAAGCCGAAGGGCAATTTCTGCCCGATTTACGTGACAGTTGTTACGTAATAAACGATAGGAATGATACTCGATATGCGCGAAACGAGCGCTTCAATAAAACCGATTAACGTTTATTATTTAATCTTTGGCTTGCTTGCTGTGTATTACACGGAACCGATGAAAACTTTTGTTTTTGTTATTTGTGCACGCTAATATGCTACGCTTACTTATTGGTCACTTAAGGAATATTTATTTCCAATGGAAAGATTGATATTCGATTTACGAAAAGACACGATTTTTAACGTCCTTCCAGTTATTGCGCAATTGGGCTTTCGAGTAATGTGAAATATAAGTGAAGCTTTAAAATTACTGGAAGTGCGAAAGATGCGGTGAAAAATGTATAATCGTATTGGGAAATGTACGCAAATATTTTTCGATCGTACAATGGAAAAAAAAAACAGTGACGATGTAACGACCATTCGGCGCGTAACCGTTGGCCATTGGCTTCTCACCTACCGTGTTTGGATATTTCCATGAATATAAAAACGTAATTCACATGAAATATTAATTTCGAAATTGTGATTTTTCGCGATTTTTCGCATTCTCGAATATGTCGACGGAATGATGATAAATCATAAATTTTCTTGTACATTTGTTAGTTATTCAGACATACTTGAAAGCGGCACACTTCAAGCCTACATATTTATCAAATTTATTCGATTTCAGAATTATATTTTGTGACTTATGTGACTTAATAGCCTTATTATTAAATTATACAATCAAAAGGGGCGACATACTGTAGATTATAGTCTATAAAATTAAACGATAAATTCAAATTGACTCCGATGTATTTCGGCCGCGCTGTCGACTCACCTCTGCCTTCGCCATCGCGCCGGTCGCAGGATCGCCGATACGAAAGTTGCAGGCGTAAAGAAAAAAAGCGTTTGCGAGTTGACGGAAGGAAGGGGGCGGGGGTGATACAGAACGAAGAACGAAAGCGATATCCCCGTCGGCACGTGCACGCGGTTAAAAAGGTTCACGAGATTTTACCGCGCCGGTCGCGACTCGGCACGGCAAAAGCGGAACCGGCTGTCGCGATACGGATCTGACCAATCATAAAGGGCACGCATACGCACTCATAATGGCCACTTATTCATCTGTCCAGGACCGCTAGCGAACAAAGGCGGAAATTAGTCAGGTTCGTTATGCTTATTAATTGACTGACGTTTCCGTCATATTATTGTACGATGAATCGAAAGCTGCTCTCTCGTGCGGTCCTCAAAAAGCGGGCTTCTGAAACGCGCGCGGGTCTCGCTGCAGGACGTTTCATTGACAGTGAAGTCAACGATCTGAAAGAGCGTGCCGACGCTTCCGCGGGCAGCTTCCGTAGTTGGATTGCGCGATAAGAATGTATAACAGGGTTTCCCACACATATTACGTTATGAATAAATGTGCTAAAGGGTCTGCTAAAAGGTCCTATTCCCAGAAACCACTTGTCTCTGTGCAGAATTACCATTATCGTTTGCAGTATTTTGATTTTATTACGATTCTATGCAACGTGAAAGCGAAATGAAGAAAAATAGCCTCATCGTCAAAGCAGAAAGATAGTTACTCGTCGTCAAAGCAAATCTCAAAGAAAATAAATCATACGCCTGATTGAGGCAATTTCAATATTCTGAATTCTGAAGGGATTTATTTATTCGCAAGTAATTATGGCACGACTAAAGGATATGCGACAGCGCTCGCGAGGAATGAAAAGCGAGAGAAAGAGAGGACTTCGATAATGTTTTCAGGAAAAAAGCGTCGGTCGAGAGTTTCGCAGAGAAACTGAATGTTCTCAAATGCGACAATTTATTAGTATTCTATAATAATTGCATACACAGATATTAATTATTGAACAGCGTAGCGCATCTATTGGCAGCGGTATGGCTGAAGGAAGAAATGAGAGAGTACAAAGTGACGGGGGAAAAAACGGCGAGACGATACGAGCAAGATAAATAGGAGAAAATGAGGCGCAGACGAAGCGCAAAATGCGACTCGAGTGAATCGCAGAAAAATTGCATGCAAATAAGAAGTTTTTCATATAACGTACGTTAACGTATAAAAGGCTCAAAAAGATATGACGTTACGGTATCTATTCTCTGCGTTCTCAAAGGAAAAGCATTCATGTACGAAAATCCCTTTTTCGTACGCACGGTGGACTGTTATTACGTTATGTGTCTAAAGAGTCATTATTTATATCGTTAACCGACGTACGAAAAATACTTTGTAAAATTTGATATCAAAAGGGAGATTCATATCGAATATCTTTATTATTATCTTCAATTAAGAATTATTTTCGACGAGAGCGAAGACAACCGCAAATTATTATTGTTCTTCTTCACGTACACGTAAGACACATCTCATAACTTTCGCGTGTAACGCGTATGTATTGTCATTTTTGTAAAAAGTACCATCTTTCGAAATGCGATACCTCGTTATCTTGTTCCCACGAATATGGAGAAGAATCGAAAAACGCCGGCACTGTATACGTGAGGGGATAAAGCAATTAGGTGGATTCGCTAATAACGATGCCCATGGTACGCTATTCTCCCTTCCGTTAATTCGTCCTCGTTAAATGTAAACCAGTCGAAACAGCTGTGTTTTAACAATCATGAAATGCCGCACCTCATATATTAGAATCGTATTTTTCTTTTTCAATTTTTTTTTTATTACCTCTCTACTCGAATTGTGTTCGCGATGCAGTTGCACGTAATTTTTATCTGAAATTCTATTTTTGGTTAAACGACGCGCAAACTCTTTTACGGCCGACATTATTGTATGCGCTCATTTTATGCACCCTTCGCGAGAAATCGATCGAAAATGGCGATCGGTCGGTCCCAGAAAGGGTGCGGAGCCCACGTGGTGGAGCTCGGGGATTTCTTAATGATGCTGACGTCGGTTCTCTCTTGTGTTTATCCTTCGTCGAGGGACGACGCGTATGAAAGAGGAGAGGTGGGCGTATCGGTGCCGGCGTACAGCTGCATCTATATCCCGTATCATGCACCTATATCCTTAAGCAGGGTGGTAGGTTATATCGGCGAGGGAATAATGCCACGGGGGTGCCGGAACGGTTTCATTACACGGCTTCCCGAGGGATAATATCCCGGGATATCTCTCCGCGGTCGACCCCACGGGGGTGAAATTCCGTGCCACCAACCCGTCTCGCATGAGAGATGAACCCTCTGTACGAGGTGGAGCATCACCCTGAGCAACCCCCCTTTGGAGGGAGAGCGCGTTTGTGGCGAGCAAGGGAGGAAATTGCCAGCAACCGGCCGCACCACCGGGCAAGGGATTGCCATGCGACGACAGAAAATGGCCGATGGCCTGGTTGCGATCGCAAATACGAAGGCGCTATTTTAATAATGCAGCGAGAACGGGTTTTACATTGTTTGGCTTCTGTATCCCCTTCTTGTTGAAGTTAAAAAAAAAAAGAGCGATGCACAGTGAACGCAACGGGTGCTACATTTCTGTTGCAATTCGTCGTTCTTCTTTGTTTCTGAATGTGAAATTTTTCAAGTTAAAACATGGGAAAATTATCTCTCTCTCTCTCTCTCTCTCTCTCTCGATTGCTCCGCAGAAAGTTTTATTTTTATCACAGAATCATGGATCGTATAAATTTTTAATTAAAGAATTAAAGGAAGAGTCTCGCGAAGGTGATCGTGCATCGTCGCGTTTCTTCGAACGTATTTTTTTTTTTTTACGTCGGCATCCTTTGAAGTCGCCGTACATACGAGCTCGCCTAGCTCGGTGCTATTATATTGCGATCACGCGCGCATTGCGATTAGTATTTAATGCGCACAATGTATAAGAAAGGGTCCTTTTCCCGTATCAGATGCGGGGCGGGCCTTATAGACCAGTTATTAGGCCGCTGACAGGCCCATATAATCCGACTGCCTCTCGTAATGTGCAGAATGAAAAATATAATGCCTATTAGCGAGGATCTTTTCAGCGTAGTCCGCGTGTTGCCCTCGGGATTTTTTCTTCGCCCGTATTTCCTCTTTCCCCACGTCGGCCGCGTGTTGGTTCGCGCACGGGTAATTTTTATTTCCTCCCTGTGCGTGTTCCGCTTCTAAGTCTCGTCGTTTAACCGAATGATCTGACAGCGCAATGGATCAAGAGTCGATTTTTTTCTATCGTATGACTTTTTGGCGCTGACAAATCCAAATAAATTGTTGCTTATCGTCGGGAATAAAAAAAAGAATTAGAATAAAATAGAAAAAATACATTTTTGTATCATCTCTCGTATCCATTTATCTCGATTATTTTTTATTTGGAATTGTGAAATCTTATTTGTCAAGCGCGCTATTCTTAATAAAAATTTTCTCTATAAGATTTTATTAATATTTAAAATTTTTCTGTTGCAGAAAAAGTCCATCGAGAGTCGGTCGATGAAATCAATCCAGGTGAGTCCAAAAAATACTTTTCTTTTACTATTTTTTGTCGATGCAACCCATCAAAAATACTACATATTAAAAATTCACTCGTTTTACTCATTACATTTAAAACTTGTCGGTTATGATTATTAATGAAAATGTTGCATCGAAAAAGTTACTTGAGAGAAAGATTTCTTCCGGTTTTACATGGTTTAATGGATACATTGTATCTCGAACGAAAGAAAACGTTGCGCGAACGTTCCAGGTGTTTGCTTCCATTGTACGTGGCGATACTCGAGGAGCGAGTAAGCGAATATTATGTAACACAATTCGAGTTGTTCAAGCGTGAGAAGACCCGCCACAGTTATTATATTTAATACAGCATCCCGATCTGCCAACATCTGCCTATAGAGTGGCGCGTTTCTTATTCGTGTATGAAAAAAAATATTCTCGAGGACTTATGCGTAATGGTGTGACGAACATATTTATGATAATAGATTTATTGAAAGTTCCATTGAACGTGATGAATAATATTAATATCTTGTAAAGTTCTAACTTTTAGTTTAATTTCAAACGGCAAAAATTGATCGTGCTTTGTATTTTTTTACGTGTTTATTCAACACTTGAAAGATTTAAGGTATTTTTTTCCGAATAAAATTATGAATGAATAAAGCGTGACAATATCGAGAAGAAAGGCGATTATCTTCGCTTTAGCTGGTGATGAACAGTTTTGCAATTGTCGGCGGCATAATGGGTTGCAAAAGTGATTTAACGGTGCATCGTAATGCAGTCTATAGTTTTCGGTTCGTTAGCGATCATGCGACCGCACGCGGATTTGCTTCGGTGGAAATTACTGCGCATCCTGGCACAATCAACTCATATATTATTTGTAAATTATGGTTAATGATTATCATTATCTTCGATTCGAATGTAACTAATGTTACATTTGCAACACTAATGTATGCTGTCCATTATTCATGAGTCCTCGAAATAATATCATCGTGTAGCCCCGCACATCTCAATATGTGCATTGAACTGATGTTGCAATTCAATAACGGAATTATTTGTTCTTTGTGTGTGTGTGAGCGGCGTAACTCTGCATGTGTCGCGCACAATTTTTCTCTAATTACATTCCGATGTGCTTGCTGGAAGAGCGAAATATAAGAATGCAATGTTATCTTTCTCGCGATGTAAAGCGAAGGGAGAAAATTTCACGCGAGGGAGTGTTATTTTATGCAGGAGGCACGAAGCGCTTTCCCAGCGTTGACATTTGCAGTCACAGCGAGTATCTTGATGTCGCCGGGGTTAATGGTGAATAGCTGGCGTTGAAGCGCGCGATGGAATATATTTCCGCGTAGCTCCCGTCCATTACGCAAGACCATCGACACGACCTATCGGCGGTAACATTACCGACCATGCAGCCACCGCCGCTGCCGCCGTCGTCGCGACCCTATATTCCACCCCCGCGAGGGACGGCCGGGGGGGGTTGCGCGGCAGCGCAGTAGGGTGGGTAATGTCGGGAAATGCAGCTAACGAAGTTTACGAAGACACTTAACGGAATTACGCCCTCGCTCGCAACGGGTTCCCGCCGTCGTCCCGCCGCTCCCGCGCGCCCTTGCCACCCCGTCCGCCCCGAGGGGTCCCTTTACACTTTTCCGGCGGCAGGGAGGTCGCGTTAATTACCGACGGAGGCAAGAAGCCAGGGAAACGGTGGCGAGATACCTCGTCCTCGACGCAGGAGCGTCGTCGAAGCTCGACGATGGTTACAAAAGTCGGCTACGGGGGCGGGCGACGGAGGACGCGGCGACGGGGGAGAGGGTCGCCGGCGGTGCGCGGGGGTTGCCGGAAGTGGGAGCGGGCCGGGAAGGGGTCGGTTTGCACCGAAGAAGGGTGTTATTGACATGGTGGGTGTCGCGTCGTCGGCCATCTTGGGCCGCCGCGGTCTCCCCGCCGCCGCCGTCACCACCACCTCCTCATCCTCCTCCACCTCCTCGTTTTCCTCTTCCTCCCGCCGCCGCCGCCACCCTCTTTGTCGCATTCGCTCTGCTCCCCATCGCGTCCGAAGGACATCCTTGTGTCCCCTTGTGCCGAGTGACATTCGGGCTGCGTGCCCAGCCTAACCTGCCCGGCGGACGCCCTGGGCCACCCTTTTCGACCAACCCCGGCAACGAGCTGCGAGGGTCCCGGGGGCTGCTTGTCGCCATGACGACCGAACCCTCGCCCAACCCCCTCGACCGAACGCCGATTCCCTATCCCTCGGCACTTCGCTCTACCCTCTTCCGCCGCCCCTTCCTCGCGTCGTGCGCGTCGTTCGCGTTGCCGTCGCCAAAGAGAGAGTCTTTCGATATCCTCGTGCGCCTCTCTTTGACAGATCGACGGTCCTCGCCTCTTTCGACTCTCCTCGTGCTTCCTTTGCTCCTCTCCTTTCTTTGCTCCTCCTCCACCGTCTCTTCGTCTCCTTCGTCGGATAGCTAAATGCCAATTCTCATTTTTCAGAATTTGCGTTGTTCCCTTTGTCCTCTTCTGTCATAGTTCACTCTCGCATTTTTGCTCTTCTAGTTATTCGAGTTTTCAAATTTTTTCGTCCACCATGCTCGAATCAAATAGTTTACATTTCAACTTAAATGAGTTTTCTTTTGCAGTTTTTTTTTTATTGATTATCTTTTGCTTTTACCTCTACTTTTTCTGATACTTTCATTCGACACAATATAATGTTTTACGTTGATCTCTCGTTTTCCGTTCTCGATTATCGTGTTGTTTTAGTAAACTTAATAACTCTTTTGATTTTAAATGAAGAATATCTATGCTTATTTTGCGACGTCTACCTGTAAAATTACGCTTTTATGTTCTGCATAATGAACAAATCAAGTACAGTCTCACGCGTATGCATATTTTTCAAAGATTTTAATATATCAGGAGTGCTACGTTTCAACTTTTCTACGATAAGACATGATTAAATAAAATTTAAAATTGTGAAATTTTTTGCGAATTCGGATTTTAACATCTTAGTTCGGGATCACACTGTAGATTGTAAATTATCATAATTAGTACATTTAATGGCAATATCGATAAAAATCTGGCATCCGATACTCGATATAATTAAAGGTTAATAATTTTCCTATATTAATTAAAAAAAACATTAGAGCGTTTCATATATATATATTTTGCTCAAAATGTGAGTTGCGGTTTCGATGCTCCGCAAATTTAATAGCTCGCGCCGAAAGTTGCAAAAAATATCCGGCGGCGTTTCGAATTGATTAGTTGGCGGTGGCATTAATTTTGCTAATTATATCGAAGAGCCGATCTTGGGGAACTTCGTGCGCTCTTCCTTTTGTCCGTGGATCCTTTATCAAACATTCTCGAAGGTACAAAGTTCCATCCTTCATGCTTCCCCCAGAGAATTGGCGGATATTAGGAAGGACTTCACCGCGGCTTTTGTCTCATTCGGCCATAAAGTTTCGCGAAGCACCACAATCCCGACCAATTAACGACGATTTCCTAAATTCAAACCGTAACCGCGAGCTAATTGGCACTTGACATTCAATCCGTCCTTTCGTCTCTCGCGAGAAACTCTTAAACATCAATCGCCGATGACAAATACTGGAATTAATTGTATGCATCGATGAAAGGAGTCTTCGTACTTCGAGACGGTTTTACATCTCGATCGCATTGCTCTTTGATTCTTATTTTATCATTAAAAACATCCCCATACAGACACGTTCAATCGTATTTAGAACTACAGTCATTACAAATGTAATGTTCTCATTTAACAAAACTTTGATTATTTGTTTATGATATCAAGTATCAGAAGTTTCTCTTTAATGAGAAAATCAATGAAAACAATTATAATACATATTATAGCAATATAAAAAGTATATATTTCAAACGATTGTAGAAGAATTTTTCTAACACTTCCCATATGAAAAATCGCAGATAACGAATTCATGTAAAAAAATAGATAAAAAAAGAGCAAAATGTCGATTTCTCGATAGCGTTGACGTATCCTGAGCATTCTTGGATTCCGAGACGCGCCGGAGCGATCGAACAAACTCCGGCGACTCGGCTCGCGTTCGCCATGCAGCTGCATTGCGGCAAAACAGAAGACGTCTGTCATCGGAGACGACGATCTGTTCGGAGACGCATCGGAATGCAATTCCGTAAATGAGCAACGTAGCTCCATTCACAGACCGCCGCCGCCGCCGCGGCCAGCTGCGATTTTAAAATAGCGCTCACGGCTACGAATGTGGATGGTACCTGATCGCAGAATGACAACGATTCGATTAATTAATGCCGGTGGAAGTGCCGCGTCGCGCCTGCGATAGAACCGGAAGCTCGGATCGAGACAAAAAAAAAAAGGAAGAATCGCGGCCTTTATGTACGCGAATCAACTGTTTATTCAGCATATAGCGAAAACGAGAGGAAGAGGAGAAAGAGATAGAACGAGAGTGCGGCGGGGGAGGAGGGGCGGCTGAGGGGGAAGGAGGGAATGCAACAACAAGCGCGAGTGATCGACGTGAAACGAGTTCATTCATGCTTGGATGTTGTAATTCTGAATGGACGTAAAATGGATCGAAGCCGCGCGATTAGATTGAGCTGACTATATATACATATATATATATTATATATATGTATATATATATATTTTTTTTTATTTAGGTCAAGGATGTAAGGATGATTTATTTTGAAGGAAGAGAAATTGAATGTCGACGGATAATGAGATTTAGCTAACAATCATGTAATTCTCGGTCTTTAACATCAAATGCGACTTTTGCGTCAGACAATGAAATTCCGGGCTGGAGAGTTATGTTTGAAAATTGTGAGATTTAACGTCTCTCGTACTTTAACATTAATTTCTGACAACGTCAACCTGGATTGAATTAATCTAACGTCATTCGGTGATCCGCGTCCGGATCCAGGCTCGGAAAAGTTAAAAGGTCGTCTCTTTGCCTCTCAAGGGTGCGATAACTTTCGGCGCCGACTGTATCGCTGGATGATATATCCCCCGGGGGTTTTCTCCCCTTGGGTGTTGGGGTGTGTTTCGTTGCCTGGCAACGACACCCTCGAAGTCCGCGCTCTGATTGGCCCCGTCTCGCTTTTCCTGTCTTAGTCTCGCTTCTCACCCCGTCGCCAATCAGACCCCCTTGCCCGTGCTACCATACCCACCCTATACCCTCGTCGATGGAAACCGTCGTCCTCGGGGCGAAGTGTACATACGCGCGCGTGCAAAAGAAAAAGAGAAAGAGAGAGAGAGAGAGGGAGAGAGAAAGAAACAGGCTGCAACACGTCCACGCGAGCAAAACGCGAGAAATTAGAGGTAGTTTCGATGCAGGACCGGTGCATGAAATAATTGCATGCAAGCGCAATGATAGAGTAATAATACTATTAAATTGGTACAAAAGGTTTGTTATATTTGTCAAGTAAAATTGAAAATTGAGAATTGCAAGATTTCAAACAAATTTTCATTTATCAAAATAGTCGCCGTTGGCTTTAATACGCTTTGTTCATCTAGAAACTTTTGTTCGTTTGATTTAAAAAATTCCGAACTTTTAGAATGGAAATTGATAATTTTATTTTAAATAGACTTTCACAGAGAAGCGATAGACTTTGTGCACCAATTTAATATTTCGGATAAATAACACAAATGATAAAGATGATTTATTTTTTATACGTTACTTTCGTCATGCGGAAAAAATCTGATGAAGAAGGAGTCCAACGCGCGATTGCGGTTTATTTTAATAAACTTTTGATTCTTTATAATTTTCTTTAACGTATATTTTGGCTGTATATTTCTTTTAACATTGAGAAACAAAGACTAGGAATGTATTACATTTTTTTTTTAGACGTTTTTCTCATCAACAAACGCGCTTTGAATGACGAAACTATTAATTCGCAGAATAAAAGACTGGAATTTTATACATTTGCCATAGATTCATTCGTCACAAATCCGATTACGAGTAAACAGCCGATCATCGGCTCTCGATGTCATTGAGAATCATTTCTATTTTTACGACTCCGTAAATTGTACGAAAGGATTAAGGGCGATTCTACTGGCTTCCTTTTCAATGCCTTCTTCGAGTAGCTGGCTTGTTGTCGAGGCTGCACAGTGCTGCGAGAGGATTAAACCTCCCTATTGATCCCGTTCAATGGATTCGTGCCCTTTCACGTGCCAGCATTCGTAATGTTTTGACATCCTTTGCGCTCGTCTCTTCGTTTCGCGTTTTCTTTCTCAACGCTGGGAATACATCTTCATATTTCCACTTTAATAATCAATAATATATTCAATTCACTGACGTTATATGTAGACACGTACAAACTTGTTTGTTCGAAAAATATATTTCAACCCCATAATTTTTATTAGCAAAATTTTTGATGAACGCATTAAATTAACAATTGCTATGTGTTTTGTATATATTCAGGGACCTCATGTTGCGGCAATGACGACAATGACGGCAATTTTTTCCTGAACTCGTCGCAATACTTCGATGAAGAATGGCGCGATAAAGTTTTGCGCAAAACGAAGTAAGTGCAGCAAACGCAGCATTTCAAACGTTTTATCCGTACAAAGACAAATAGTGGAATTACATATTCGTTTGTTACAGAGCAGCGCAGCACATCCCGAAAGTGTATTACGGAACGCGGACTCACAAGCAAATCGAGCAAGTAGTCAGAGAACTGAAGAAGACCGCGTACAGATACAAGAGGTAAAAATATCTCGCGAAAATATCATCTTACGAAATGAATGTATAATGAGTGAGTTTCTAGGATGACTATATTGAGCGCTCGGATTCACACGTGTATTCAAGATACCGACAGAAACAAGAACGACTTGTGTAACGAGCTGCTCGATCCATTAAAGGTTTCCACATGAATATACCATATTTATAGAGTTAAAAGTTGAATAATTTTCTAACAATGTTATTTTTGTCCGCAGCCTAAAAAATGTCCGTATTACACCGAGTTAAATAAAAAACCTACATTATTTAGCAATCTTGAGACACCCTGGGACATAGAAGACTTGGTTTCGATGGGCAGAGCGCATAAGGCTTGCCCATATTTTGGTGCGAGAGCATTGAAGACCGAAGCAGAAATCATCTTTTGTCCTTACAATTACATCGTGGATCCACATATTCGCGAAAGCGTAAGCACTTGACAAGTACACATAATTGATAAGAATAATTAATAATAAGAATTAATTTTTATTATTCTAAATTTCGATACTCTTGTTTGTTATTCTAAAAGTTTATCAACAAGAAAATAATTGCTTAATCGATAATAAAATAATTGATCAATAATTGATGTTTTGTTTGAATGCAATATTCTACAATTTAAGTATATTTGCTTTACAATAGCAACAGGCTGTTCTTTTAGTATTAAATATATTTTTTAATAATTTATAGATGCAGATTAGTCTGAAAGGAAATATCGTAATTCTCGATGAAGCCCACAATATCGAAGATTTTTGTCGGGATGCTGCCAGTGTAAATCTCAAAGATAGCGATCTCACAAATGCCGCCGATGATTGCATGCTTCTTTCGAAAAAGCGTCCAGAGTATTACAAGACTTACTTGACCATTCATACGTATCTTACTGATATTGTAAAATTCCTTCAAGATGTTGGTCTTAAAGATAATGTAAGTGTGTAAGATAATTATGTAATTATTGTGTAATCAATTTTTATGTATCGATATTGCTTTTATATTAATTCATGTGTAATTTATTTAAATTTTTGCAAAAAATTCAGATTAATAATCGACTTGTAAATTGTAATCGATATTTCTACTATATCTTAACAGAGTATGTATGTTTCAGAGTAACGCATGGGAAATGGTCAGCGATTGCTGGTCCGGCACTGAATTTGTGGAGCTGCTCAACATAAAAAAAATTGGACGTGCTAGATTTCCCGATTTCTTCGCCGCTAGTAAAGCGATTATTCGAGATTACGAAATAATGTACGAAATTACCCGCGCGGGTCAGCCTACCACACTGAAGCCCACTATCTCGCATGAGACTAAGAAAATTCTTGAATATCTCTATTTTGTTCTGGAAAAAATTGAATCGGATATGTTCGTTGATGACTACAGAGTGTATGTTATAGAAATGGAAGCAGTTACTAAAAAGATTGTAAGTTTGTATATCTGAATAGTTTGATATAATTTTATATGACATATATAATTCAAATACTGTATAATTATTTTTCATCAGGTACCCGATAATGTTTGGATTTCAAAGGAGAAGAACAAGAACAGAGTGCGAATTATGAAACTGATATGCATGAATCCTGCTGTGACTTTCGTACCTCTGGCCCGCACCGCTCGTTCTGTGATACTTGCTTCGGGTACTTTAACGCCGACTTCGTCGTTCGAAGGTGAGCTCGGCACGCGATTCCCACAGAAGCTCGATGCCGATCACATTATATCGAAAGATCAAGTGTATGTAAGATGTATACCGAAAGGGCCGACAAAAAAAATTCTAAAAGCCACTTATGAAAACGTGAACACATTCACGTTTCAGGTGAGGAAATTGATCATTAATTTAACATTATACGAAAATTGATTAATCATTTTTAACATAACAGGACGAACTGGGTGAACTGATTCTTCAAGTGTGTGATGCAGTACCCTATGGAGTACTATGTTTCTTTGCATCTTATACCTTAATGAACACTCTACGTAACAGATGGATGAATAATGGCATATGGGAAAAGCTCTTAAAATTGAAGAAAATTTTTACAGAACCGAAAGAAAGTCAGAAGCTGCCGTCGGTCATGGAAGCGTATCGCAATACAATTAAGGAGTCGTCATCTAAATCCTTTCGAGAAGCATCCGGAGCTATTTTGTTTGCAGTCTTCCGGGGAAAAGTGGCGGAAGGAATCGATTTCAGCGACAACGAGGCTCGATGCGTATTAGCCGTAAGTATAATTTATGTTTTATGTCGATTTTATTTTACAATATATCTGTTTATTAGATCGGCATACCGTATATGAATAGCAGCAATGTGGATATACTAATGAAGAAGGAATATAATGACTCAAACAAATCCACCAAAGGCTTGCTATCTGGTCGTGAGTGGTATAATGTGAATGCATTTAGGGCGCTTAATCAGGCGATAGGCCGTTGCATTAGGCATAAAAATGATTGGGGCGCAGTACTCCTAGTGGATCAAAGGTATGTACATTAAATTAAATAATTTGAAGCTAGGTAAAGGTCTAATATTGATGATATAGATTCCAGCTGTCCCAAAATATTCATTATCTACCAAAGTGGGTTAAAACAATGGTAAGTAATAATTGTCAAAAAATTAGTAAGACATTGTGAGACTATAATAATTTATTTATTTATATTGCAGTGGATGCATAATGAGAATTACGATCTTCAAACAGAACTTGAAGATTTCGTAGCGATACAAGTTGCACGTGAAAAGGGGGAACAATATCTTAAGGAAAAAAAAGAAAAAACGTCAAAAGATTAAGAAATTTTTAGAAGAGATTTTTTTTAGATATTATATGCTAGGTAAAAAATATTTTATTAGAAATGATTAAGACAAGACAGTAATTATTGATATTATATATTCAATAGTATTTACATTATTTTGTTTACCACTACATGTTGGTTGTGTCCTTTTTTCAATCATTCTCAATTGTTTCTTCTTCATTCTTTTTATTTTTGCAGGATTCTTAATCTGAAAAAGAATTATAAAATAAGCATTAAGGTGTATATATACACACACACAAATATATTTTATAAATGACAGCATTTACTTACAACTTGTACAATTTCATTCTTCTTCCTATTTTCTTCCGCTCTCTTCAAATTTTCTCTCCTTCGTTGCTTCTTAGCTTCCTTTTCTGTCTTTTTTCGTTCTTTGATTTCTCTTGACATTTCCTTGACACGTTTTAGATCCTCTCTTAATTTTTGTTTCTTAGCAAACGATAATCGAATTCCACGTGTTTTAATTATAGAAGAAAATCTACAAACAGATATTTATATTATTAACTTGTATATTTCTCATTTCTGTCAATATATTGAATTATGTTGTAAACTGCTTTTCTCATGGTACTATATTTATTTAAGAAATGGAAATCATGATTTCTTTCACACAATTACTCGTAGATGTAAATCATACTTGACGTAACTTATTTAGAATAGAAATTTAAAAAGAATATTAAAAACTTTAAGTTCTATTTACTAATTATAATTATTTTTATACTTATCAGCTGAAACTTACTTTGTTTTTTCTTCTTTCCATATCCTACCGGATTTTGGTTTGCCTCTTGGGATGTATTGTTTCTCACGTTTTTTGATAACAGGCGAAGTTTCTAGCATATCTTCGTTCGTTTTTGGTTTCATATTGTCATTTAATATATCTTTCATACACGTCACTTTCTCACTGCTTTCCATCGTTTTTTAAATATTAACAAAATGTACAACCAGTATATATCAATATATCCTCTTGTGTAAACAACTTTTGCAGGTTAATGCGTCACATGGCTGGGATCTCTACACATGGCATGCCACGATTGCCACGAGATAGTGGACGACGATCGAAGCAGTCGAAGCACAATGGGAATATCGACAGACGTAAACTCTGTCTTTTACCATTAGACGGTTACTAACGAATGTTCATTTACAACTTTTATATGTATATACCACGGTGTAAGAATATAAGGTGATTTCACGACCATTGTATTCTATCAAAAAATCTGTGATCAAGATGTCATAGTTAAGGCATGTTACACAAGATGTCACGTTGGTGCAAGATCCCAAGTAAAAAAGAATAGAAGATGTGGATAGATGTGGATAGAAAAGGATAGATGATGAATCTCTAAAGCACATCTATATATAATTATAATCCTAAATAATACAAATTTTTTAAAATAAAACTTTTAACATTGTGTATAAAAATATATATTACTGACAAAATATTTTTTAATTTTTTATAACAAATTATTCTTAGTTAAATTTGCAGAAAATATAATTAATAATAATGTATTCCAGTCTTTATAGAAAATTAAGTTTCTTTAAGAAAATGAATATTTATAATTAAGTTCCGCAGGACAAAAATTTTAATAAAATTTCTATATATATATTTAAAGTCCCTCAACACGTAGCCACCTAGCGATTCAATGTGGAACAATGACGGGAAAATCCATTGAGTAAAAAGAAACAGGAGGGAGCATATACTAGCCAGGACTAGGTAAATCCGCGGACGGATGTACGTCATGGCAGCCATCTTGAGCGACCACTTTTTGAAAGTGAGAGGGAATGCTCGAGCATAGCGGCAAGCGGCATACCGTACGCCGTACGCATTAATATGCAGTGTATAGTCTTTTATGCAACAGTGTATGGAAATAAACGATCAAAATGGTATACTGTAGAGCTTGTGGCATAACAGCAGCAGCTCGAAATCATGGAATAACGTTTCATCGGTTAGTATTATCAACAATAATGAGATTTTTATTTTGGAGATTATAATCATATGTATAGTATTGTGAAATTGTAGATTCACAATAATTACTAAATAATTTTCACTCACAAACAGGTTTCCGAAAAATCCGGATTAAAGAAATGCATGGATAAATTTTTGTAAGGACGAAGGATTTAATATAAATTTAGATTTTAGATTTTAACATTGCTCTTATGGAAATACTGCACGAGTGCAATCCCAATGAAAAACGCCATTAAAATTTGGTATTATTGTTGCATATTATAGTTATTTTCTTTTAATTGTACATTATTTCCTAATTAAACATAACAAGTCATTCAATATTGGCGCCCTTGAGCGGCCATCTTGAGCGACCACTTTATATAGTCACTTCCGTCCGCACTTTTAAGACCAA